AATCTTCAATGGGAGTTATTTACTCCCATTCGGCACGAAAGATGGTTCAAAATAAGCTTGCAGCTGAGTTGAGCCAGCTTANGTTTGAATATTCAAAGATGAAGGACATGCGTACGATGTTCGTTCTTTTCTTAAGCATCACTAGCCGCTGATTGGTTTCTCGGAGGTTGCGGCTGTTTTCGCACAGGGTACTTATGGTTAGTCTCATCGTTCGCTATAGTATTGTTTTGGCTATTGCCAAGTAATGATTCGAGTTTTTTGAGGCTGGCGAGTATCGCGCGTGCAAATTCAGATTCGCCTTTCTCTCGCTCTGCTACTCCTTCCTGCATACATTCCTTTAGTAATTTAGTTACTTCGTTATTCTCGTTTTCTTTTCCTGCCCCCTTCTTGGCCTTACCGGCTGTCCCCTTCGCCTTGTTATTGTTCAGCCCTGACGCGTCGCGAACGTGTCAGGGTGGTTACCACCGCCATTAGTCGATGCTGACGCCGCCATCTCGTCGCAGACAATATAGTTGTATGCGCTGGGCTTCACTCATCCGTAGCTGTCGAATAGTACTAGTTTCGACTAGTTTTCAGGAAATCAATAGAACGGTGTTCTTCCGAAGGCTTATACAAAAGGGCAAAAAGAAGAATGGGATGTTTTTAGGATATTAGGATATATGCCAATGCGTGTAGAAGACTCCTTACCTCTGTCTGCATACTATGACGTGAAGTCACGTGATCAGAGTATGAACGTATATTGTGATTTCTCTTCAGTGTAGATATATCACCCTTCTTCCCCCAATACAAACATAGCGATTAGATTTCCGCCCTACTCTGCCTACTCGGTTGCGGGTCGCCCCTTGATCTTCTGAGCCCGATCACGTATCGTGCGACGGTACATACTTGAAATATAACAAAGCAATCGTTCCTCTATGTTGGTGACTTTCAGCACTAGATACTGTGGCACGATACGTGATCGAGCTCAAAAGATCAGAGGGGCGACGCGCAATCGAGTAGATAGAGTAAGCTGATAGTTAATCGCTGTAGAGGATTTATTGGAGAAGGTGTCTATCTACGTTTGAAAGAAAATCGCAATATATACTACGAACTAGTCACGTGATACTACACCACAATACATGCAGAGATCTCGCTCGCATTTAGCTAAACTAATCTACTGGGTAAAAGCTAGAAAATTCAAACAGTGCTATATACTCAAGCTCTACACTTAGTCTCTTTGCGATAAAAGCTCCAGCGCTTTGTCCGACATGGCAGCTTGGACAATCATCGGCGGAGTTGAAAAGACGAAGCTCTTTGAACTGACTGTATGTGAATCGGTGAACGTTTGGCTACTAATGACATAGCCGCCCTGATGGTGAAACGACTCAAACCACGATCCAAAGACGACCACTGTCGTTACAGCTGCTAGCTGTGGGCCTAGCGTTTTTGAGAAGAACGTGGTTCCATGTTGGGACTCCATTTCGTCTAAGAATCCAAGGTGCCGAGGTCCAACCTTTCCAAGCCCTCGGCTGTCATCCAGGATCAACGTCAGCCCTTTTAGACTGGAGATGTCTTGAAATGCTGATAAGATGAGCTTGATACTGTTAGAGAGATCTAAGAGAGAGCCGTCTCTTGAAACTGTCTCTTGGTACAGTGTGAGATGGAAGGCTCGGGTTTTGTGCAGATCGCGAACTTGTACTGCTAGATTCTTCATGTCATCGTATATAATAACACGGGTCGAAGACTGGACCTTGTCAAGCGTTGCCCCTCTTCTAACAGATGAAGATGCAGTTTGCGGAACCAGTACTACATTCAGAACATCTTTTGCATACAAAGGGGCTGTTGTGGCGCTAAGCAATGAGATTGCCATAACGTTTGCATCGGATCCTAGCATTGCTGAGAATAACACGGTAATGTCAGAATATTCAGTAACTAATGTTGTGTAAGAAGGACGTACCTCGGCAGTTTCCTGAAAAAGAAATAAGAGAAGGATAAAGGCTCGCAAGTCGGTCTTCTAGTTTAATGAAGACGTCAAACGTGCCATAAAACCATCTGACAGAAGAAGCACCAATGCCGTACTTGTCGAAAGACTGCAAACCAGCCTCAGAAACGTCACAGACCTGGCTCAGAGTGAGAGGTGCTATAGTCTTGGATCCATTCGCTGGATACTTTGCAGCCAGGTCCAGGACATATTTTTGAAGAGCTGAATCGACGACATGGTTCTCTCCTGCTGTTGTTCTTTCTTTTAGGCCGTCGCTGGGGAGGCTTCCAATATCGAAACCGATGGGTCGTACTCCGTCAATTTTGAGCAAACATGAGACCGTGATAAGTGCATTCACCAAACCGAGAATATCACTCCAAGAAGTCGTGGCGAAAATACATACGCGGATCCGACATGACCTATCAATACACTATGTCAGCACGAAGCTCAGACCTGTGGAACTGAAAGTTTCAGGGAGGGCAATGATAATCGTACTCACCAGATAGGTGTAGCCGGAGGGACACCGCAGGCGATTGCAAAACCGCGTTGAAGTAATTCGGCGTGAAATTTAGACGCCTTCTCAATAGTACCTACAGTGTAGAAACTGTTAGGTCCATGTTTTTCAGAAAATTTAGGATACGGCAGTAAGGTGTACCTACCAACAGGAAAACAGATGATGGGTGACCCAGGCGGGGAAAGAACTATGCATCCGGATTCGCGGAGCCGGTCTGCGACATAGCGGGATTTTTTTTCTAGCGTGGACATTCTGCTCTCTATAAACTCAGGCTTTCGAATTAGAGTCAGTGCCCTCAGTAACACGATCGTAGAGAGTGTCTCATCGCCTGCCTCATGTTGGAGACTTGACTGTTTCTGTAAAACGGTGGCATAGATACCATTCGACACAACAAATCCACCAGTACATCCAACGCTCTTTGAAAATGTTGCAGTCATGATATCCACTTCATTAAGAGGACAGTCATAGCCGCGCGCTTGCCACCACTCGAAAGAACCGCGGCCCCCGCGACCTAGTGCCATGAAGCTGTGAGCTTCGTCGACCAAGAGGCAGAATCTGAAAATCTTTCTCAGGGCGAGGATCGTAGGCACTGGAGCCACGTTCCCAGCCAGACTTGTTCGTGAAAATAGAAGTCAGCAACATTCCTTCTTTCACCACATGACGAAACCGCTAATTATGTGCAATATAGAATGGAGTACATACCTATACATGCCTTCGACAGCAACACACACCATGGCGTTAGAATTATTCTCTCTCAAAGTCCTCAATTTGAATTCTAGGTCTGCAACATCGTTGTGTTTGAACCGGTAAAAGGTCGCCTGCTTGTTTAGGAAGGCCCCGACGAACATTGAGCTATGGGATTCGGCGTCAAGCAGGAAAATGCATTGGCGCCCAAGTTCCTTTGCTGTTTCAGCGAAGGTGAGAAATGCTAGCAGATTTGCCCCATAGCCAGATATTGCAGTAGCACAAGCCTTGGCATTCATGTAATCAGCTAACTCCTTCTCTGCAAGCATTCTGAGCTCTGGAGGCGCTGGATTGAATGGAAGATGCTGTAGAGCTAGTTTGATAACAGATGCACTGCTATACTCGAACCGTGTGAAACCGCCATAGTTATTAGATCCCGCGTTGACTATCTCGCGTTCGGGATAAGACAACATCTTCTTAACATTGTAGTCTTGTGATATTGCTTTTGGGATCGTTTTCATCAACACACGATCATTAGGCGCGCTGAGAAGGATGCGTACGTCTTCACGGCCGATCGGAATGTACTATGCAGCTTGGTAAGATCTTCATGACGCGGACAAAGTGGCTACAAGAAAGAGACTTCCTACTGGTATAGAACTGGACTTTGGGGGATCAAGAAAACTACTCACAAAGTAATGGTTTGCGATGTCTTGAAAGTGTAATGGGCGATACCATGTCCATGTCTTGAGATCTCTCCATAACTGGGCAAATCCAATCATTACAACCCAAACATAAAAGGAGAATTTGTTGGCCAAAGAAACCGGTGGGTCTGTGGGCACCCAGAATGCTCGCTTTGTATTAGCGACGCTCATAGTGTTGGTGCTTGACGAAACGATGACCCCGATGTGATTATGTGGATGGCGTGGGCTTTGCCGAAGAAAAGGGTGCGTAGGGGCTACAACCAATTTCGTTCCTAAGACAAGGCCTAGCAAGGCAACAAAGCTGCGTGACTAGGAAATTTTGCATTAACAGTGGATTCCGGCGAATATATAATAACAATCTACCGCGATGCAAGAAACGATTTAATAATATGTTGGAAACCCGCTTTCCAAGACACTCAACGGCCGTGTCAACGTCTTCGCATTCTGATATCCGTCGGAACTGCACAAATAGGGTATAGTGTTGGATAAGGTAAGGTCGGAACGCAATTTCGGTTAGTGTGGTTCTTTTAGATCGATACTACCACTACGGAAGCGTGTAACAATGCTAGTATACCAAACAGTAATCGCAGTCACTGCCATATGAAGATCCAGACGGTTTTCCATAGGCCTGTCTTGCCTAGGTCATTTAGCGCTATATATCCGCTACGGAACAGCCTATTCAATGAGTGTACGTCGGATCCGGCAACAACTGAATCCTAGAATGGCTGCCTGTGGGATGTAAACTGTGATGTTCGATGACTGCAGTGCCCTTTCTGGGTTTGTTGGTCACTCAGATATGCCGGTTGCTTCTAGAAAGTCTAGCCAACGACATTACAGCACGATTTGGCATTTACCACGAACTTAAGTACTTTAATATCATCCAGGACGTTTTGTGTGTTTCAATCGCACACCCGTGGGTTGTACCTCAGCTTACTACGTGCCACATAAAGTCTTTGGACTAAATGTCTCGTTCAATCCGAGCTTTCTCACTCCCCTTGTTCCTGTAGCTGTAAACGACACAATGCTTTGAATTCACTAAGCTCAGCCCTTGCCTAGAGATTAGTTGCCGCCTACTAATCATTTCTCTGCTATTGAGGAGAGATCTTAGCAGTTAACTACCTATAGACACTTGCAGCTAGAAAACATCAACACCACGCAGTGTAAGACTATATATACTACCGATTGTTCGAAAGAATAGTTTCTTGATATTGCATTCGTGACGATAGATACATGTTGTTGTGAAACCTCGATTTTCTATAGGTGAGGTGAGTGTTAAAGTGCGTGCTCCGACCTATCTTCCCGCCACTAGGAGACTCGTGCGAAATTACAATGTCTCTCTTCCCCCTTGAATATCATAAGGTACAATTGTCCTTTGTTTTACGCTGCACTATGCAGTATCTCTAATACGCTGTCTTTGTTCAATGGGACAGGGTTGACTTTAGTGCACCAGTCTTTCATAACACTTTCAGCTAGCCCCTCAAGATGTTCATTCTTAATACTGAACTCTCCCAGAGTTCTTGGTAGACCAAGACAATTGATGTAAGTTCGCACTACATCGCAGAGGTCTGCTTCTTGACTAATAAGACCAGCAGAACGAAGACATTCCGCCACGTTCTCCTGTTCCCAAAATGTGGCAGTCGCCAGCTCAAGTCGACGTCGAAGAGTCTCGCTACCATGATTCCAGTTGTATCGCAAAACCCAAGGCAGAATGATACAACTTGTTTCGCCATGTCCAACCCCCAAAGGACCAAGCTGATGACCAATACCATGACTTGCGCCTATTCCGTTAAATCCTGCCCGGTGACATTCCTGTACAGACATAAAGGCTCGTAATCTCGCCTTTTCGTCGTCCCAGTTGTGCTTGATTGACAACAAGCTTGTCAGCAGGTTTCCGAGGGCTCTAACAATGATGTTCTCGATATCTTTGTCGACTTCGATGCCGAGCTCCTCGTGCATGTCGATGAAAAGTGCAGCTGCGTTACCATAAAGGCCTTCAATGAAATGATCGATGGCTCGGACTCCAGTGGATAGCCACACTTTCCGCGGAGTACCAAATGATAACCTCGGGTCAAGAATAACAACGTCGGCATACATGGACTTATGCATCGTTACCAGCTTATGACCGGTGTTTGAATCTGTCGCACCGCCAGCACATGTAAATTCACTCCCAGAAAGCGTTGTTGGTACGTTAATGACGGGGATTGCCGCGGGCTCCACAAACTCTCCCGCCCTTATCTTTGCGAATAATTTCTCTGCACCCGACACTGTTGACACGTTATTGGGAACGAAGAGCCTTGCGAGCTTGACGGCGTCTGTTATAGAACAACCACCTAAAGTAATAATAAGATCCGCGTCCGCAGCTTGTATGGCTTCCGTCAATTCGAACACATCTTCCCAAGGTGAATGAGATGTGATGCCGTATCGGATCCCAGCGATCTTGGTAGCGCCTAAAGCAGATCGGAGAGCTTCAAGGGCTGGAGTTGTACTAATCGACTTGGAGACGACAATGTAGGTGCGCAATGACCCAAATACATCCGCGTGATAAGCACAAGCTTTGTAAAAAGGCAGGCTATCAGATATGTAGGGTTTTCGTTTCCGCAGATATGCAGAATGGGAATTGTGTTCTTGGTACCCTTGCATACTGTATCTCTCAGTAGAACGCAAGCGGGTAGCGATATACAAGGATGAAGGGATAGATGATAGTAGAGCAATGATACTCCCACTGTACTGGTTGTTTGTATTCAAGACACCATCCAAACCAGCACACTAATTATAAATGCCTCAATAATAGGTAGTTATTTCTTCATTTGACGAAGAATCCTTCTCAAGTCAGTTATCCGACATTACGGTAGATTACATGAGCAGGCCCACGGCTATCTGAAAATAGTTAGTGGTGCGGCTATAGAAAATAGGATACGGCTATCGAGAACACAGTGCAGTTCCAGGCTTGGATAGCGTGTATAGGTAAAGGCTTAGCAGATATCTCTGGCTCGATTGTAAAATGTACTACATAAGCACAAAGACGGCCAACCGAATACACTCTTTTGTCCAGAACAACCCGATCACACACCTGAAATTCTGGAAACCTGCTTTTCAAATCATATTAAGACAGTTCTTATTTGAATTAATGATTAAGTTCAAGAAGACAGTCCCATAACAAGCAACTATACGTGCACTTGTCATGATTTCTTGACTATTCCAATAATTTACCTACACTATCATCTGCGGTAGATAAAGCTTGAACGCTATCGCGGAAATGGTTAAACAAGACCCCTGCCTTTTCGTCCTCAAGGAGAGGTTTCTGGTAGTACATCGAGACCTGGAATGCATTCTTCTGTTGCTTGATAGATAGCAAAACTGCCCAATGACTCTTCATATCATAGATATCTAAATCTGGCCTTGGAGTCATCTTGCTTATAGCCGATTGATCATCTTTTGCTGAAAGACCATTTCTCATTCCATGCAGCTCTGACTTCAAGTCAACGAGTGACTGTACCCATGGATTTCCGTCAGCACTTGGGAAAATGCTCGGAGAGAATCCATGTTCCCATTTGTTTGTGGTTGTGATATCGGTCTGGATCCTCTGCAGCAGTTTAGGAACCGATTCCTCGTTGGAGGTAAGAGAAACGCGGAAAGGTAGCGCATTCACCAAAGGGCCCATTACACGTCTCACATCCATGAAAGAGCCAGATGACCTGCCGTGACGGCAGAGCCCAAACGTGATATCACGAAGCCCCGATAGTTTTGCTAAAGCCATAGACCATGCTGCAAGAATGATTTGCGTTGGATTTCTAGAGTGGCTGTTCGCAATGCGCGGGGTGACAGGGGCTTGGATTCTTTCGATGATAGCACCCTCCAACTCGCCGTTGATCGTCGCTTTATCAGGAGGATGGATGTTGGATAAGTTTGCGCCGCGCAGGTAAGTATTCCAAAACAAGGTGGCATTATCGTTCGTGGCTTTTAGCTGTACATCCTTGACGTAATCGCCAAACCATGGGCGTTCAGGGTTTCTATCTTGTGCGTAACATGATGGCGACTCCAGAATCTGTGATATCTCCTTGCTGATGAGAAATCGGGAGAATGCATCGCAGTGAGTGTGATGTAGTGAGATAACGAAGAAGCTGCTTCCTTCATGGGTGGGGTCTCCGACGACTAAAGCGTATTGTACAGCTGGCTTTGCCAGCTCAAACTTCTGAGTCATAGTTTTCTCTAAGTAGGTGCCAAGGTCGGAGGTAAAAAACCATGATGACGTACTCTTCGCAGTCAAAACTTGTGCGAAGCTCCCATCTTCCGTAGCTGCAATAAGCGTACGAAAGATGGGGTTTTTAGATTCTAAAAGATTTACGAGGGTTGTCAAGCCATGTTTCAGATCCGAACCCTCCACTTCAAAGATGTAGTTGATGAGACCAATATACCCAGCCAGGCCTAGGTCTAAGAAAAAACCTAATTTACTGTCAATTAGAACTTATTTTTTGTGTAACTGGATCGCTCAAGCGAAGGAATGGGGATTGCATAGTTCGTGAGTGATATCAAAGATTTACTACCTTGTACTGGACTGACTGGAGCCGTAGAGAGGACACTATCTTGAACAAGGTCTACTTGCTTCCAGGCTGAACCATCGTACTCTATCTCGAGTTTGGTGTTTGTGCCAGAAGAAGATGCTTGTGATACGCTTGATTCTTTATTTCCGTTGTAGCCGCGTCCATTCGTGCTATGTACATTTCCGGTCTGGGTATGTAAAGCATTCCAGAGGGTCTGAATAGTTCCAGCTTTTTCGCAATAAATCAATGTCAGCTCCTTGGAGTTTTTACGAAGGATGTAAATGATAGCGCGCGAAGAACTGTAGTAGCTTACTATTTATGAAGGTTTCTAGATCAACTTCGACATTGTGGGATGCTATCTCGCCAAGAAGCTGTAGGGCTTTCACCTAAACCAATGAGCTTCTTGTATTGTTTAACGTACAATCATTCTTACAGAATCACCTCCCACTAAAATAACACACAGGTTAGCAGATTTTTATCGCTGCTTAAATACAGTGAAAACCCATACAGTCTATAAAATTCTCATCCAAACCAATTTCACCAGGATCAATGCCGAGAACATCACCCCAGATCCTCCTCATCTCTTCAATAGATGCCATTGTATTGAGAATAGGCACGTAGCGTGGTATT